TGCTAAGTCAGCTAGTAAGTGCCATTTGTAAGTAGACACCTGTCCCTGAAACACTGGATTGAGACATACCTACCCACTTCACACAGGCCATCAAATTGCTTTTATGTCTAGTATAGTAACTTATAGAATCATAGAAAATTAGGGTTGGAAGGGAACTCAGGAGGCCAACTAGTCCAACCCCCTGCTCAAAGCAGGACTGTCTCCAACTAGATCATCCCAGCCAAGGCTTTGTCTAGCTGGGTCTTAAAAACCGCCCAGGATGGAGCTTCCACCACCAATCTGAGTAACCTGTTCCAGTGTTTTACTACTCTCCTAGCAAGGAAGTTCTTTCTAATATCTAACTAAACTTCCCGTGCTGCAACTTGAGACCATTGCTTCTTGTTCTGTCATCTGCCACCACTGAGACCAGTCCAGCTCCATCCTCTTTCGAACCCCTCCATCAGGTAGTTGAAGGTTGCAATTAAGTCTCCTCTCAATCTTCTCTTCTCCACACTAAATAAGCCCAGCTCCCTCAGACTCTACTCATAAGTCACATGCCCCAGCTTCCTAACCATTTTCATTGCCTCTTAATCAAGACCAGTCTGGACCAGAATCAAACTGATGCCCTGTGGAAGAGAGCTCTGTATCCCATTTCAAGTTGAATGCTTTGAAGCAAGCAGTCCTGGCAAAAGAGGAAATATTGCCCAAGGTGCTAAGGTTCTCCATTCCTCTTTTGAAAATGTGCCAGGTGAGCTATATACAGCATTTTTTTTTTAGCTTCTGTAATTTTAAACAGCTGTTAACACAGTAGCTGGTTGACTCTTACACAATAACAGGATGTTTATGGAGGTTGCTACAACAAACCCACATGATCTTATCAGCATTGCCACCCCCAGGCATTCATAATTCATGAGTCTGGCCTCAAAAATCATGAGAATGGTGTAAGAAAATCAGGAGATTTAAGATACCTGGGACTTGTTTTATTCATCTATTGGTTCCTGAGATGTTAGAATGCACTTTCTCAGCCATCATGAGTCCCAGGAACTGCTTTAATTTTAAATATAAAGCCAAGAGTCTCACTTAATTACAAACCTCCAGAAGCAGGAGCTTTTGAGAAAACATCACCTATTGTTAGACTAGTAGTAAAAGTACAATAATTGTCAAAACTGTCAGATGAGTGTGTTGGGGAGGTTATTTAGATGCCTGGTTTCTTGGATTGGGCTTCAAAGGTCTTTGTCGTCTAGTGGGCCAAATTCTGCTCTCAGCTGCGCTCCTTATTTCTCTGCTAGCTACAGGAGCTTTGCAGCATTTACGTGAGAGCAAAATATGGCCCATTGTATCTCTGCACCTGCTGTATTATGTTTCAGTTTCATCTTTTTTTTTACATGGCTGACCCATTCTCTGACCCAAGCTATTCAAAGATGGGGGCAGGGACATACAGGCAGGTTCATGATGGTGATAGCATTTACAAAGGAGAAGGCTTTTGGCCCAGTGGTGCTTCTTGGGCCTGCCAAATAAAGCTGATGCTGGATGAGGAGGGGAGCAGTGAGGCATGACCCATGCACCAGGGTGGAGAAGAACTCCCCATTTCCCTGGTCTGCTCTCAGTCCCAGTCTCTTCTCCCCTGTCCAGGCTCCCAGTCCCAACATCTCCAACTGCCTATTCTCTACCTTCCCAGGTTCCAGGCCCAGTGTGCTTCCCTAGTCCTTCCCCAGAGGACTTTCCTTGGACTCTCTCCCCAGTCAAGTCCCAGTCTTGTCCAAATTTCTGTTTGTTTCTTCTTCTCCTTTTGGACCAGCTTTTGTCCCTTTTTGTTTTTAAATTGGGCTGCTTCCTCCTCCACACAGTCATGGTGGGCCAGCAGGCAGGTCAGTGAGAGCATAAGAGGGACAGTGCTCTCTACCTTTTCCCAGCTTGGAGTAGTCAGAAGCAGCTCTTACTGGGAAAGTCTGGCTTCCCTCCTGTAGCTCTTGGCAAGAAGGAAGATGCTGCTTAGTCACTCTGGGGGTGGTATGCAAAAGCAGTGGGGTTGCAGACAGGAGTTGCAAGGGGAGGGCATATGCTCTCCTGCTGTGTGGGGATTGTGCATGCACATTCTGATCTACACAAGCGGCTGTGAGAAGATGAAATGTCCTCAGTAAAGAGGGAATCATTGGAGATTTTAGGGATTGAAGTCAAAGAAGTTTCTACTGCACTTATGCAACCAGTGATTGTTCAAGGGTTGTACAAAATTTGGACACAGTTTCCCAAGAATGGAAAAAGGCAAATGCTTGAACAAATGCCACCGTTTAGCTAATAGATCATCTTATTGCTAGAAGTATTCAATGAAGGGCTTGCCATAAATTCTAACATGGGCTAAACAATGTCTTTTTCCCTAGCCAAGTTCTAAGAAATAGCTGAACTATTTTGGCTGAAATTTTCCTAGACAGTTTAAGTTTGGGAAAATTATAATCAGTTGAAGATAGGGTCTTATAATGGGAAGTTTAAGTCACCCTTCCCAGTAGGTGGTTCTACCAGGCCCACCTGTAATAAAAGCTCATTTACTCATCTGTATTTGTTGCCTTTTCACTCACAGAGAGCTAATGCAAAGAAATGAAAACAGGTCTATGGGTGCTCAGAACTCAGAATATACAAAATATTTCCTGTCTTACCAGTCTGCCATACTTCTCCACTCCCCTTGTTTCACAGTACAAACTATAGGACCTGGAAGGATCAGGGGTTTGTTAAGAGGCTAATCAAGTCTTCCCCTCCAGGGTGCTGGGTTTGAGTCTTGAGCAGAGTGGTAGCGATCCATCTGATAGCTGTCTGGGGTGTTGCAAGGCATACTTACCTCTTCTGGATTTAGTCTTGTCAGACAGAGATGCTAGGAACTACAGCAGTGATTCTCAGCTAGGGTGTCTCAGCACCTTGGGGTGCCATGAAATCCTTTTAAGGGTTCCATAGTGTGCTACACAATATTAAGCATGGTTAGGTGTCCAAGCCCCTACACG